TTTGGGTTCCCCCCCCCCCCATCGGTTTTCTAATGGTCCGTCCCTAAGGTCGTCCTTTCAATGAAGTGGAATCTCACAATCAGGTCCGTTGCACAAGAGTTCATCATATCGCTGAACTGAAGAATTCCTACAGGTCATAAAAGAGATCCACTGAAGAATTTCTGTTAATACCCATGAAGAGAGACCCTGGAAGAATCTCAATTTTTACATTTGACCCCTGAGAAAATCTCATTCAATATATCCATTACCGGATTACCCCCAAAGAATTCCACACAGAAATTTGCTTATCCCTGAGGAATTCCAAAGCTAAAAATTTATCACCTCATTCCAGCAGAATTGAAAGCTGAAATAGCCCATTTTGTGCTGGCACTGTGGCACAAGTGTACATACTTGGGCCTTGGGCTATAATAACCCCTTATTCATATTTGAGGATAAATACAGATTTGTGTATTTTTATTTTAACTTGTTTATAACAAATTTTAAAACACAAAAATTGTTTATCAGACAGTTAAGGACTAAGGAGTCGTTTGTGAATTAACCCATTGATTGACAGCACTCTCTCCCTGATGAGTAAAATCCTTGGCATTAGACACAGTAAAATAATAAAGTAGGTTACATGAGGGTACATTGCCACTTAAAAGGTTATATGATATGGACAATCGCATATATTGGATTATTGGTGCGGAATTTAGCTTTTTGCACCTAACTGATGCATGCGATAGACAGTGGTTATATTTCACCTCAGGGCCGTAGCAACCAGGGGGGGGGCTGTTTGAAATTGTAAATTTCGACATACTAAAATGCTGTTTTCTGACCATCGGAATTCTGTCAAATCTTTCCCAAAGTTCAGGAAATGGCATTTCAGAGACTCTAAATTTAAAATTTTCCTTGGGCCTTTGGCCATTGCTTTCAGTTCCCCAATCAAAAAGAGCTTCCCACAGCACTGCACTCCCTGAGCTATTGGCATTAAAATTTTACATAACTTTATATTAGCAGTCAGTGGTGTAGAACTGAATCGCTAACAAAGAGGGCCCTCAAAGAGGGGGGGGGGGGAATGACAAGACGTGGGGTAACCAGGCATTGAGGGTGCAACATGGTAAATATGGAATAGTTCCAGTATTCACTTTTGGTTCTAGCAATTCTTCAATTGGTGATTTTTAACTAAAGGGCTTAACATCAAATAATACACTCCAAAATATTGAAGCTATTACATGTTAGAGCCACATAAATATCATCAAATGGTTAGATCCTATAACCAGAATAATAATTGGACCTTATGTAATGTTAACATAATACAGCCAATGGCTGCAAGGTTTATCAATTAAAAACATCTATCTAAGAAATACCAATCCAAGATTGTGTGTCACGTACCTCGTGTGTCACTTCAAAACAGCCAACATTTGAGCCTTATTGAAAATAGAGCTAGCATGCAAATATGACAGTTCCAATACATGTAAACAAATACGATTTTTATGCAGACTATTGGAGCAACCAGGACTATAAGCCATGTTAAAGCGTATATAGATGTAAAACTTCACAAAACAAAAATATAAACGTTCAGAAATAACGGTTCGACGAATAAATAACACAGTTATTGTCAGTTAATCCACCTCGAAATCTACTCCCCTCCTCGATAGTGAAACGTCGACATAATTCTGTATATTCTTGATGGATTTCTTTCAAAAAGCCCCCAGAAGAAAAAGCGTGATTGAAAGAACAATTTGACGTTCACTTTATACACTTACGAAGACTTTAAGACCGTTAAAATAGCGAAAATGTATGCACGTATTGCTTCGTATATAGATCAGTGGGAATTTCCATTTTGCGACTATCCATGGAGAAGGAGAAGGAGAAGGAGACCAATTTCACCCGAAACCTATAGTTGCTGGCACAGGTGCCCCAGCAACTAATTAAAGCATAAAAGCCGGCTGATCCTCGAGTGATTCAAATATTTTAAATCAGTTCCGCGAGTGAGATTGTTTATATTACCGTTAAATAAAAATGTACATATTATGTAATCATGTTTACCAACTATTTTGGTGAAATGTTTACTGCGTTTTTCAATTTACAATAATTTACGTCTGAAATTAAATTGAAAAAGTTTTTTTTTTATTTTAAAGTTCCGTATATGCAAACGAACGAGAATTAAGAAAGATACCCAAAATCCAAAATATTGATTCAAAATATTTGCGGTTCAGTATTTTTTATCTGTCATTCTACTCTTAATTATAATCTAGGAAAATTATTTGCTCCGAAATTTTTGGTTTCCAAGAAAAGAAGTTATGGGTAGAATTAGAAACAATTCACTGCGACCTTCAATAACAAGGTGTGGAAATCCAGTTCTTGAATTTACAACACTCTATAAATATCAATATTGTAAATAGCTATGCCTCCATCACTCAGAAGGTCATCCGCGCTGCACCCGTCTGCGTTACGAAGGCTAGTAAATCTAGTAGCAGGCTGCGAAAAGATCAGAAGGAAGGCTTGTACTAGATGACGCCACTCCGTGACTCCGAGTGACTACACACCGCAATCGATAAATTGACCCGGGTGTGAATCGAACCTGATGTCTTTGGCTGCTATATATATACCAGCGGGTTTGGAGTCAAGTATTTTTTGAGTTTGCCCGGAGCGTCATTGCATGAATGTTATTTTTCGTCATCTTTATTTATATCTCACTTCTCATATACTTTCACATATCTAAAGTTTGGAGAAGTCTATTTTCGATAGCTATACAGCGCTTAACGCTTTGATTATTAATTCTCATGCATTATGTATAGATAAATTAAAATTTTTCAGCGTAACTATACTTATAGCATTATTGTGAGCGAACCCGAACTGCATTGACTAGCTATTCCCATTCTTCTCTATCTCCTATGATCTTCATTAGTTCGTCACTTCTTAGACTAAATGTAAATTCTACTGCATGTTTTACCATTGGTTCGCTTTATCAGATCAACCAGATCTTCTGAAGCAGTCTATTTTAGTGAAATATATATATATGTTATTTACCGGCTGCGAGGTCCGGATTTTTCCAAACCGACGCTACCGGTAAATAACGTGTTTATTTTTTATCAGATGTAAAAATTAAATTGATTAAAATGCCAGTGTTGCTTGCGAACTAATTTGAGATCATTGCAGTTGTGTATTTTCAAAGCGAGGCTGACAAAAATTGAAAAGTTAAAAGATATAAAACACGAATACGAAAACTCGAGAAAACTGGCAAGAAATGCACAAAAAGACGTATAGTTTCAGTAAAAATGTAGATGCTTTTTTCATGAATATGGTAGCAGAGAAGCTTTGGAATAAAAACTTTATGCATGCCTGGCGTTTTGGCTTTGCCTTGGCTTTGACAAGTTGCTCCTGACAACGACAGGCCAGTTCATGTTCAGATCCGATCAAAAACATATAGAAATGAATCTGTTTTGATTTAATTAACGTTTTTCTACTAAAAGGACGATGAAAAAGGTATGCTATTCTTATATTTTTGTATTTTTTCTTGTCGTTTCACGATAATATGCTTGAAAAAAGTGTTTTTAAACACAAACTTTTACTTTGTTTACAATATTTATATCAGTGAAAAATACATGACACAAGTCAAATGGGTATAGAGAATATATTCGTGACTTGTTTTCACACTGCTGCAGTTAAACCTTCTTTTATAAATGGGAAAACATTTATTTTACAATATCTGTTTAAGCTGTAATTTTTTCGCTTTTAAGTGGCCGAATACATGAGCATTTAAAAAATATATAGTTTTCTCGACGTAAGTTTTATACATGTCAAATACTTTCCGACTTTCAGCCGCATTTCTATCAAAATATTGTCAATTCTCGTGAACATCGTGCTTAGTATGAAGTCTTTAGGGCTTGATGCAATTCATTTTCGTATTCTGACTATCGTTAGGCCATGTTTTTCAAACGTTTTTGGCAGATTTTTTCGTTCAAAATTTTTTTCACTCCTCAGTTTTGGCCGCGAAAACCAGAGCGGGCAGTTGCATTTCACAGCGGGCAGTTGCGTTCCAGAGCGGGCCGGATGCAAAAAACCGGCCCGCTCTGAAAGGTTCCTCAGCCAATAAGGTTGTTTCATTTTCACTCATAAAAAATAAGTTATAATAATAGTTTTACTTTTTGACCACCTTAGATATTCAGTGACAATATCCCCCGTACTTTTGCGTCAAACATTTTTTTTAACGAGTAACTGTTTCGTATTTTAGTTCCTCCTATTCCGTGCTGTAGTTAACTTATATTTCTAGTAATTTATTTAGTTATTTATAATTGTCACATTGGGCCCAAAGTAATTGTAATTAGCCTTCTGCTGTTGCGGTCTTCCGGACATATTTTTCTTGTATTTTTGCGACATTTTTAATTGCATGTAAGACATCTTTTATGGCCCATCCACTAAATTGTAAAATTGCTAAATAGAACTAATTATACATACGCCATGCAGTAACTCTAATAATTTTTGTTAATAATTTTGTATAAAAAGTGTCGAAAAGCTATTCTATACTCTTTGCTCCGAGTTGCATAAATTATTGGGTTCACGAGAGAGTTTACTCCAAAGATGTTGACGGCAACAAGATATACGCTTGTTGGGAGACAGTATTTGCAAATGTTGAACCTGTCAACCACCGCAACAAGACCACACGGGAAGGCGCAGAGCAGCATAGCAACCACAATAATTTTGATTTGTTTTAACTGCTGTAAGTAACTTCGCCTTCTGCTTTGTGTCTCGTGGTTAACAGAGGAAGATGACACACCAGAACAACTTTCACTTTTAATTCTTCTTCTTTGATTCCTTGCCACTTTAAATATTTTGTAATTGAAGCTCAGTATTCCAGTGATCGGTATGTATACATCAAATGTGAAGAATATTATAACAACAGACAAAGGATTTGTGCAATAAAAAAGGCGGGTATCTTTCCCGGTGTTGAAATAAACAAAGATTATGTTAACTATAGCTAAAAGCCAAATGATGGATAGTACAACATACGTTCTTACCCAAATCATAATCATCGGATATTTTAGTGGTTTACTTATGTAGATAAATCTATCAATTGTTATTGCCAGTAGATTAGCTATCGACAATGCACCGCCTGTGGAAAGAGTTGTAAATCCAATCTTACAAAATAAGTCATGAACTATGCAGCTCTCACCGACAGCGACCGACGCGAATTCAATAAGCCATACGGGATAGCAAGTACAACAAACCAATAAATCGGTAGTTGCCAAACTGATCACAAAATACGTCGTAGGTAACTTGGGATTGATCGCAAAAACATTGTAAAGAATAACTATAATGTTGCCAATGACACCAATGATTATCCCAAGGCATTGTAAACCAACCATAGCTGTGAAAAATCCTGGAGGTGGCAAATAGTCGTGTCTTGAATTTGGTAGAACCATTTTTGCCATAAAAGATAAATAAAAATCAATGCAATAATATTATTTCCTACCAACGGCCTGCACAACACAATATACAGGGTCCAGATGGAAGGTTCGGTAAGAACGTATCTAATTGTTGTTACCAAATATGAGAAACTTTTCTTTCATAAATATCACGAACGTTTAGAAATCTTCTCATTCACGTCGTCACTCGATTATCTGAACAATTCGGAATACTTTTCCTATCTTTTAAAGTAAAATATTTTCTTTAACTTAATCTGACTGTAAACTGTGTATTCTCCACATATGCATCGCAATTGATTTCGTTAAACTCCTTATGTTAACTCTGGGTTATCTGTGTGTCTTTTCCTTATTTGTAACCCTTGCCTGATTGTTTGCCTTGACAATATTTAATTTAATAAGCGATATTTCCAATACATCACCCGTAATGTTATCAATAACTAACAAAGTTAAAGAGACAATATAAACGGAATTAGAATGCTGACATAAATATATTTATAGCGTTTATACATCAACAAATGCTACTATAAAAGTTTTATATTTGAATTAGACTTATCCATGTTTATTAATATATTTGTATATCCCAAGTGCCAACTGTATATGTCAGATTAATTGTAAATTGTCAGCCATATTTAATGCATGCCTATAGAAAATTTAACTACTTGCTCAAATCAGCAGCAGTATTTATTCATATGTTTTGTTTAAATTAAATAATTTTCATTTTGAGAGGTCTTGCACCAGTCAATGTATTAAAATCTGTTAGCCTTTATAGACATGCTTTAGTGTAATGCCAGGAAAATTATCCATGTTTTTCTATTAATTAAACATAACTATGTGATGGTATTCAAATTAACCAGGCTCTCTGCTAGCTTACATTTCATGCTAACTTGTTAAGATGAATGTGCTCAACTTTCAGCACTTTTTTATTTTATCTTGTCAAACACCAGATCATTTTACTTGAAAGAGAGTGGACAACTTTGATAGGTTTAATACCTTGCTGTCTCCCTGTGTTTTGTGTAAACTCATTAAGACCCAATTCACAATTCACACTAATGTGCTCTATTTCAAAGCTCAATATTTTGCCCTGTTAATACCAAACTATTTTGCATTATTTGGCGTTAGCACATTTAGATGTAATTCACCCTAAAGCCTAGTTTCCATTTGGTCGTTAGTTGTCGCTGGCACGACAAGCGATAGATGTGAAATAGTCTAATATAATAATAGTCTGTTTGTGTGATATGCAAATCAGTCTTAATGATTGCAGAGTTTTTTGTTGACACTCTATTACATCAGCCACTTGTCGTGCCAGCGACAACTAACGACCAAATGGAAACTAGGCTTAACACTCAATTCCCACTTTCAGTACTTTGATATTTATCAGATGATTTTACTAATCAAAATGAATGTTGGTCATTGAAAGGTTAATAATTAACTGCAAAAGCTGCTGTGTGGCATATTTAGAAGCAATGTGCCCTACTTTTAGTACTTTGTTATTTTACTGTGTTTATTCTATTAAAGTGCTAGACTCTCCACTTAGAGTAAAATAATAAATTGGGTGCATTTGGGCATATTTAATGGGCTAACAAAACACATTGGAATGGTATACATTAAATAAATGTATTTGTCTTTTTACAGCTATCAACAAAGTATGGATGTAAGGCCTCAGAGGTTCGTCAACATATGAGGACAAATATAAACAACATGGGAAAGTGTTGCAAAGTACAGAAAAGCAAACAAGAACAAGAACTTATTTTAGGACTATGTTTTGAGGCCAGTTTTAAACTTAACTTTAAATGTCAATTATGGTTATTACCTATGGTTTAGCCCATTAAGTGCCAGCGCTCTGACGAGTAAAATCGTCTGGCATTAGACAGAGTAAACTATAGTAAAATAATAAAGTAAGGCACATCAGGGCGCAATGTGATTCAATTGGTTAACTAGACACATATATAGGAATATAGGCTAGTTAACCCATTCGGAGCCAGCATTTCCCCTTGACATTCAAGTACAATTGTCTGGAGTTAGACAGAGTAAAATAGTCTGGCATTAGACAAAGTAAAATAGTTATACAGAGCAAAATAATAAAGTAGGACGCATCATATGGCATTGCATTGAGGTAGAACGATTAATTTGGCACAATAGGTGAAAACTATAATTGATTTGTAATGTTTAGTATAACCAATTTCTCATATTAATTTTTATATTTGCAATATTAATTAGTATTTATTAATATTTATATCTATTTTTTGCATTAAAAAATTAAGAGTGATGAACAACATTGTCTGTCATTTACTATTATTTCATCTAGATTCTAGAATTTCTGCAGGAATACCAAAAATCTTATAGGAAATTAGAATAAATTATTTTCTTATAGGAAATTCCTATAATAATTTGGGACTAGACTTGAGAATTCTTATAGGAATTCTTCCTATTAAATTCTTATAGGAATTCCTGTAGAAAAAATTCCTATAGGAATTCCTATAGGAAAAATTCCTATAGGAAAAATTCCTATAAGAATTTGGGACAAAATTCCTATAGGAATTTTTCCTTTAGGAATTTTTCCTATAGGAATTCCTATAAGGAATTCCTATAGGAAAAATTCCTATAGGAATTTTGTCCCAAATTCTTATAGGAATTTTTCCTATAGGAATTCCTATAGGAAATTTTCGTAAGTATGATTGTAGTAATTTGTAGTTAGTTGTATATATAGGCACAAAAATGGCTGAAATAGTTTAAAATTCAATACAATGTCATTGTGTTGACATGAAAATATTCTGTTTTTGTAGCCATAGGTGTTAATTTAAACCATGAGATGCTCAATCGTATGAACTATGAATGCAGATTTGCAGTGGTGTAGTGGCATAGACTTGTCTATGTAAGATATATATTGAGCATTAATTGCATGGTTTAAATTAACACCTATGGCTACAAAAACAGTTGGTAGAATATTTTCATGTCAACACAATGACATTTTATTGAATTTTAAACTATTTCAGCCATTTTTGTGCCTATATATACAACTATAACTACAAATTGCATATATTGAAGGGAAATTTACTTCTTAATCTTTCCAACTATAGTAGGATTATAGGGGATGTTTATATGTAATGCAAGCCAGCCGAGATACTGGCTTTAGTGGCTTACTTTACTAAGGCAAATTTTGCTTATTGTACAACCATCCATGCAGTATGAGCATTCCAGTGTTTATAATGAAACAATCATAATAGCTAGATATTTGACAAATCAACCATTTGCCTATAGAACTACATGAATGTGGCAACACTATTATTCTGTTCTTTATAACTTAATTGCTTGGACAAAAATGGGAAAGTACAAAACATGGACCCCCGGTCCATGGACCCCTTGTCTGGACCGGGTCCCAACCTCGTTCCCAGGCTCTTTGCTCTTGGGAAGCAAAGACCCTAGTCGGGGCTGATGACGTCACACCCAGATTCTGGGGGTAAACGTATAATTTGACTATGGGTCGGGAGGTAGAGGAGCGTGTTTGTTGCGTTTGGAAAATTGCAACTTTATGTGTTATAATTTCGGGTGATAAAAATGTAATTTGCAACAAGAGATTGTGAAAGGAACGTTCTAGATTCGTACCGATCATGACAAAGACTTCCTGCTGTACTGAATGCCATCAACAATAAGTGTTGCGTTTTCATTTCAAGCGAGAAGCTAGATCATATTTCACTTGGAAGGAAAACACTCCACACGCGCCTGGCTTGCGAAGTTTAGCACGTATCGCCGTAGAAACATACATATCTTCTACACAGACTGATCGATCAAACGGTATTAAACGAACGATATGGTTCTTTATAGTTGGAGTGTATCCTGTCCGATATTCAAAACAAAAGATTTATTTTATAACGGGATCCTTTGATTTCCCAAACATCGCCAACATGTGTAAACAATAGTGCTATTTTGACTGTATAAAAGCACATGATTCATTTCATTTACATTGCTGAAACTCAACAATCAAGGAAGATAATGTCGAAGTGTAGCTAGCTATCTGTTATCACACAAACGCCAAGACTCCTCCGTGCGTTTCCGTGCGACGACGATATATGTACCAGACACTGGTATTGTACTTTATATAAATTATTTCATATTTTGTGTATACAGTAATTTGCAACATGTATAATATTAGACCTTTCATTGACATTGGCATTGTCCATTGAGGGCTTTATTGAAGAATAATGCAGCTTCTTTAGACTTGTATAATGGATTAATGCCGCTCTGAGTAACACTAGTCACTGTCTGAGCACACCACCCCAGGAAGGGTTAGAGATAAATCGTTTGTCCCTATCTCCAGTATGAGAATGTAATCTTGGAGATTACCCCCAGATCGTAATTTTGGGACAGTTCGCCCTCCCACGCCATGCATGTGAATTTCTGCCGTTCCGACCAGGCCAAAATTTATGGCGGAGCTCGTCGAAACGTGCCTGGAGATCGTTTCGAAGTCTAGTAGTCTGCGGACAAACGAATGGCCCAAAATAGAAGGGGGCAACGGTATTTTCGTGACTCGTGATTAGCAATTATTTGTACTTCGTGAATCGTGATTTAAAGAAATACTATTCCGTGAGTCGTGATTAATATGCGTGCTGTGAATCGTGAAGAGCTAAAAGGCTAGCTAGGGTCTTGAATTTACCAGTATTTTACCCTAACTTGTTAATATTATGGTAAAAAATAAAAGAATAAATTTGCTTCCCGCAGTTGTCTTTCTTGAAGTTTCTTCGTTTCATCGTAAACTTCGTGAACCATCGTAAGCTTAAGCGCTTGTAATGTTTCGTAATGTCTCGCAATGATTTCCCAACCTCGTCCCCAGGTTCTTCCTTCTTATGGCGCACGAGCTGAGCGCCAGAGCGAGGAAGACGTACCCTGGGGACGAGGTTGATGATTTCCACAGTCTTTTAAAAGTTCTAATGTTAAAGTCAGTAAAATGTGTTTGTTTAATAACATCGAGTTCTGCTGTCTAGAAAATCGTTAAATGGTTTCAGACGTTGTTACGCTTCTGTGTTTCTAAAAATCGTGAAAATGAACATCGAAAAATAATCTTCGTGATTTCGTGACAAGACCCCCCCCCAAAAAAAAAACAAAATAAGGACTCGCGGTGTACCTGTCGATGAAGTGGCCATTGTAAAAGGGGGGAACTACCAACGGTAAAAATACGTACGATCAAATACAGCAATTAATATTAATTACTCTCGTGTACTCTTAGTTTATAAGTTTATAAATATCTCACCTGGAAAGAAAGATATACGAGTCTTCAGAGGAGTAACTTATAAAAAAGTTCGATGACTTCACTCTACAGCTGACTTCAAGCGAATGAATGCAAAACCTTTGAGGGTGACTCAATGACACCCTGAGCATAAATTATATCGCAATTTATGTTACATAAGTAAAACTATTTGCCTACAGCCAAAGTATTATCTTTGAGATGCATGCTTCCTCCACACCCATGCATAGCAAGAGTGAATTTCCTGATCACTATAGTAATAACACAGCCCCTTGGTCAGAAACGAGATGAGTTCATAACCATGTCCTTAAATACTTAATTACGGCCCAATCCTAATTTACATACACTTATATACAGTACATTGCAGGGTGAGTATAAAAAACTGACACCTTTGTTATTCAGCCGCGAAGGTACAGGTGTCAGTTTTTTTTTACTCGCCCTGTACATAGACTTGTCTTAATATTCCTCCCTCAAATTTAATCCCAGTGGTACATGTGTATTCAATTTTTCATCCAAAAACTTTCCCTTTCTATAGGTTTATTAATTATTTAACATCCGTAACATCAATAATTTGCGCTTTAAAATCATTAAGACCCGAATGGCCTTCCTCAAAAGAAATGGTCATACAAATGTTGACCACATAAACCTCTTTGGCCCTTAGAAAATCTGTCAAGCGAACTCTTATGGTTATTAAATCTAAAGCGAAATGACTTAACCGTATTGCCCACGTATTGTTTATTACATTTTCCGCATGTAATTAAATAAACCACCTTTTCGACCCTTTTTAAAATTTTTTCATTCCCCCCCCGGCCAACATTTTTTGGAAAAATATTGCATGCCAGAAAAAAATTTGCTGCAGGGCACCATCGGTTTTGGCAGGGTAATTCTGGAAGACACCTCCCCGAATTAAAAGGAGCTTGTTTCGCCCCTGCATAGGCGGCTCTGGCATAACATTTACAGCCGATTCCGTTTGACATGCGTTCGCAAAGCACGTTGAGCTTTTCAAAATTGACCGTTTCTAGGGTGAAATGTCAATGTTCCTAAGGGGCGGGACTACAGTTGAATTTATAGAAATGTGGCGGTTAAACAAGAAAGACCATTATTTTCAAAACGGATCGAATTACGGAAAGCCCATTCCGCCAAACAGAAGATGTATTAATTAATATTACAAACGAAATCAAATTTAAGGGGGGCAATACTGAGATACAGGTATTTTCATGGGAGTTTTGTTGATGTAGCGAATAAGTTTGAAATCTCTAATGCGACAGCCTCAATGACTCAAAATTGTTGAGGCAATACAACGAACGTTCGATTTTGAATTTCGCCTGGAAACATGTAAACAAGCCAGAGACCCTCTCACCATTTCCAGCTATTTCGAATATTTTTTCGTCAGTAATATGTCCATTCGTTCATCATAATGCACTTGTCTCTGGGAACTCCTCCCCCCCCCCCACCTCGGAGACACAAGGGGACTTGATGGGGATTAGATGGGGATTTGATCCTTTTTCTTGCCCCAGGAGGTGGGGGATTTTTTACATTTTAGCAAATCTTCTCAAGCAGGAGGCTGATACCGAATTCGGGACCGCATTGCAAAATGACGACTTTTGAAGGTCAACTTGAAGGCTTTTATTGTTATGTAAGCATTTATGTTGCCTCTTTGTTCTGGTATTTATATCTCAAACTATCATTTGGATGCATGCGTAAAAGTTTGGTTGAACAAAAACGTTCTCTTGATTCATTTTCAGTATATGAACATTGTTATTTTTAAGATTTGTCGTCAATACTGATGCTATTGAATATTACACTATATATTGAAAAGTGCTCAGTAGGGGTTTAGACTATGTTGGTCCCCATGTTATGGGGCATTTTTTCAGATTTTTTTCGCTTAGAGTCTTATGCCCCATGTATCCCCGGGGTGGGCTTCCCAGTGACAAGTGCATAAAGGAAAAGATATTTGAAACATTTCTGTATCGAAAATATAACCGTTTGAAGCCTCTAAAAGCGCAAATATCTAGATTAACACAAGGTCAACGAACCGGATGCACTTAGAAATACACTGTGGTCAGTTACTTGGAAATTATAAATTATAATTTCTTGACCTTCCGTTTGTTTATCGAGATATTTGCGCTTTTAATAGAGGCTGCAAACGGTTTATATATTTTCGATTCGCAGTATTGCCTCCACAATTTTGAAACTGTTGCATTAAGAGACTTCAAGCCGTATTTGCTACATCAACAAAACTCCCATGAAAACACCTGTATCTTTATTTGCTGTTCTTAGGGTTTGTAATTCAAGTGAGTATATATATACATTTTAAGACCTGACCAGGAACGACTGCGAAAAATGCAGCACAAGGTCCTCTGGTAGGAATTGAACCTACGGCCCTGCCTCTGTAGCTTAGTTGGTTAGAGCGCTGCACCGGAACCGCAGGGCCGTACGTTCAATCCCCACCAGAGGACCTTGTGCTGCATTTTTTGCAGTCGTTCCTGGTCAGGTCTTAAAATGTATATATATACTCACTTGGATTACAAACCCTAAGAACAGCATCCAAATATTAATACCACCAAGTGAAGTGCAAGAAACCAGATCATTGAAGTCCACCTTATCACAACCCGCACACCCGATCACCTATATATACATGAACTTACGGTTACAGCTCAACAGCTGGCCTCTGTAGCTCAGTTGGTTAGAGAGCTGCACCGGAATCGCAGGGCCGTAGGTTCAATTCCTACCAGAGGACCTTGTGCTGCATTTTTCGCAGTCGTTCCTGGTCAGGCTTAAAATGTATATATATATATATATATATATATATATACTCACTTGGATTACAAACCCTAAGAACAGCATTCAAATATTAATACCACCAAGTGAAGTGCAAGAGGCAGATCATTGAAGTCTACTGTATCTTTATTGCCTCCCTTAAATTTGATTTCGTCTATAATATTAATACATCTTCTGTTTGGCGAAATGGGCTTTCCGTTTTGAAAATAACGGCCTGTCTTGTTCATCTGACACATGTCTATAAATACAACTGTAATTTCGCCCTTTACAAACATTGTTATTAATTGACCCTAGAAACGGTCCACCAGAGCCTCTGAACCGCGTAAAGGCCATGGGTACGAGGTTGGAAACGGTCAATTTTGAACAGCACAACGGGCTTTGCGAACGCATGTTGTTTTACGGTCAAACGGAATCGGCTGCAAAAACTTACCAGATAAGCCTACAATATTTTGTAATTCCCTAAAAATTCCATAGAGTTCCCGCAATGCTGGGTAATAATCTATAATAAACGTACTTGTATTATATTCTCTTCTAATTTGTTCACTTTCCCGCTTAAATAAAGCCGACCGATCCAAAATCCTCACCCTCTTAAACTGACTCTCTATACAAATTCACTATTATAACTCCTTTTGTTTGACCAGAAACCCTTTCAATTCCTGAAGCCTGCTCTCAAAGACCTTATCTGAATGGCAAATACGCTTAAGATGCAATGCCTGTCCATAAGGAATTCCCCTCTTATTTGAGCGAAATAGTTAATGATGAATGCTGTTAACAACGTACGAACAATGTAAATTTGTCTCTGAAAATGTAGTTAATATCTCAAGTAGAGTTTTGACGCAGGCTGAGGTTTCGCTACTTTCTAGAGGTCTAAAGTTTTGTCCCACCCCGACTGAATTAGATTTTTCATCTGTTAAAAGAGATATTAAGGAATTTGGTAGAAAGCTAAAATTTAATGCATTTTTTCATTCCAAAATCGGTATTGGACAGGAGGGGCAAACGTTTAGACAATTGAGGGAGAAATCAGCGTTGTGTCCCACTGACGTAGATCCAGCAATATAGAGCTTTATCTTGGTAAATTAGAAGAACGAGTTTTGGCCATTAATGAACGGGGTAGTAATTTTAGTAATTTGTCCGGAAAGGAGCAAGAAGCACTTGAAAATTTAAAAAAATATCGGGATATTGTAATTAAGGAGGCAGATCCTTGTGTGGGGAAGGAAGGATATGATTATTACGATGAAGCTTATATAATCACCTTAATGATCAGCAGCTATATGAGGTTACTGAGTCATATCCTTTGAATACTGTTAATTCTTTAGTAGAAAAAGCGTTGGATCCTTTACTGCATAAAGGATAAATATCTTTGGTTAATAGCAGTATCTTGTGGTTTCTCAACCCCGATTAGGAAAATTTTACTTGTTGCCAAAAATTCATAAGCGTTTGGAAAATGTACCGGGACGGCCGGTTATTTTTAATTACGGTACGGCCACTGAAAAATTTATATCGGAGTTTTTGGATTTTCATATACAACCTTTGGTGTGTAATATACTATCTTGTATTAAGGATACTTCGGATTTTCTTCAAAAATTAGAGAGTTTGGAACATATTCCATCTACTGCAATCTTGTGTACTATAGAGGCCTCCTATAGATGTGATTGGCTTGTACCCTAGCTCATATACCACATGCATGGCGAGTTATGGAGTACGCATGCCCTGTTTCGCATTCGTCACTAACTATGGAATTACAAAAAGAGATCGAACACGTACAGCGAAGAGCACTGAGAATAATAATTCCATACATGTCTTACGAAGATGCTTTATGTCATCTTCAACTTGAATCGCTGAGAGATAGAAGAGAATTACTTACTAAATCGTTCTATCGCTCTGTCTTAAAGCAGGACAACAAATTGAATGACTTGATTCCTACTGTTGTAAATCATACTTACTCTCTTAGGAACCCCAGAAATATCCCAATGTTTGAAAGTCAAACAGGTTTAAGAACAGTACTATATCCCAATGTTTGAACAAACAGGTTTAAGAACACTACTATATATACCATATAGTGTTCAAAAGTGGGACACTGTGCCATAGTTTTTTACTAATATGTCTTAGTTAAATAGTTTTTAAATCTCTATATTATCTCATGACTGTTTTTAATTAGTTATTATTGTAATTATTTTAACTTGAGTATTTCAAAATTTGTATTAATTTTGCAACTTGTTACAAATAAATTCAAAATTCAAGGGTTAGAAGCGCTTTTGGGAGCTTTTACTAGGGATGAGTGAGAGCTATCGGTCGAGGACTTGGTCTCTTTGGCAACTGGTTGGTTTTAGAAAAAAAGTATTTTGAATTTGACAAAAACATCTTCCGTCAAAAATTGGGGACAGCCATAGGACCAAGTTCGCACCAGGTTTTGCGAATATATTTATGGGCCACTTGGAGGAAAATTTTTTGGAGACGTATGAGTTGAAACCGTGGGTATGGTGGCGTTTTCTGGATGATATTTTTGCGATTTGGCTTCATTCGGAGGAAGAGTTACTAATAATTTTTTGCTTCGTTTGAACTCTTTTCACGAGAATATTAAGTATACATGGGATATAGGTTAGCATAGGATTTCTTTTCTTGACGTGTCGGTGAGATTGGACAACGGGGCTTTTTGTACTGATGTATAGCTGAAACCGACTGATGCACACTCCAGTATTTTAATTTTAAGTCCTGCCTAAGGAATTCCCCTCTTAACATTGGACAGGCATTGCGTCTTAAGCGTATTTGCCAGTCAGATAAGGTTTTTGAGAGCAGGCTTCAGGAATTGAAACTGAGGGGTTCTTGTCAAAAGGGGTTATATAAATAGTGAATTTGTAGAGAGTCAGTTTAAGAGGGTGAGGATTTTGGATCGGTCGGCTTTATTTAAGCGGAAAAGTGAACAAATTAGAAGAGAAAATAATAAAAGTACGTTTATCATAGATTATCACTGAGTCCCGAAACATTGGAAACTTCTACCACGGTAAACTTTACCAGTGTGAATTATAATAATTTAATTAATATTCCCTTGACTGAATCGTTAAGAAACCAAAATGATGCTGACGCAACGCCAAAGAAACTAACTTGTCTTAGATTTGCTTGTGTTAATGCTCGGTCTCTAAGAAACAAAACAGCAGATGTTGTTGACCATATTGTGAATTCTAATATTGACATTTGTGTTTTTACTGAAACCTGGCTGAAAGATGTTGACTCTGTTACGATTGCCGCTCTTTCTCCTGATGGTTACTGTTTTCAAAATTCGCCCAGAGAAAATGATAGATCAGGCGGGGGAGTTGGAGTTATGTACAAGAGTATAATGAGCACTAAGCTAATGGACGCTAATCAGTTCAGATCGTTTGAATTCTCTGAGTGGAATGTAACGATTCAAAATCAAGTTATTAAACTTGTTGGTGTGTATCGTCCGCCATCCTCTACTAACTATCTTCAACCCGTGAGTTTGTTTTTTGAGGAATTTTCCACTTACCTTGAAAGTATTGTAATATCAACTGAGAGGTTACTTATTTCAGGCGATTTTAATTTCCACGTTGAATCTACTGACGATACTAATGCCAAAAGATTCTGTGAGCTTTTGGAAACATTTGGTTTAACCCAACATGTGGCCTGTCCAACTCATACTTCTGGTCATACTCTAGATCTTATAATATCTAGATCAATTAATGATGTGATTATAACTGAATTAGAATCTACGTTGGCTTTATCTGATCATTCGTTCATCGAGTGTAATTTGAATATGCCTAAGCCAAATTTTGTTGTTAAGGAACTTCGATTCCGTCAGTTGAAAAGAATAGACATTCCCATGTCCAAAAATTATATTTTCGGGTCTGAACTATGTGTCAATTCCTTTTCGGATATTGAGGAGTTTACACGTTGTTATGATACGATTTTGTTAAATCTTCTTGACAAACACGCTCCTATAAAGACGAAAAAGATGGTTATGAGACCTGTTGTATCTTGGTTCACTGATGATCTTAAAAAGCTTAAAGCTGAACGACGGAAATGCGAAAGAAAAATGCTTCAATCTGGTTGTTCCCATGATAATTATCTTTAATAAAGCTCTTTAAAGAGCTTTATTATAACACTAGAAATAAATACAGTGCCCTTCTTCGTAAAACAAAGACTAGCTATTTATTCTGATTGAATTTAAGAAATTGTTTCGTGTTATCAATTCATTGTCCAAACAGAAGTCATGTAATTAAGCGCTCATTTATGTAATTAAGCGCTTTAGAATATTCTATAGTTTTAGCGCGGACAAATTAATAAATATTACTAGTTTACCCACAGGGTAGTGAATGCTGCCTTGGTATAGCATTGTTCCCAAATCTTTAAATGAGATTTTTTGTATGT